TTTCGTCGTGGCACCCCCCCCCCCCCCACCCCCGGCTCAGGGGGGACCAGAAAATGCCTTTCGTTTTCCACCCTTCGTTGGCCCTTGCCGCCTTCCTTAACAAGCCCTCGAGCCTCCTTTGCGCCGCCTTCTTCATAGAAGCCGCCGGGTTTACCCGGAAGTCCGAATTCTATGGTAGAGAACGCCAAAGGGCTGCATAGCCCAATATCATCATACTTACGTGCATTATTAACCACTCGGATTGAAGAGCAAGGATCTTAGGAAAGGGGAAGCTCAAATGATATCTAATGGGATGGGCATGCTCCCCACTGCTCTATGATTTATTATAGTCATACTCTGTTTCGTACCTGGTAGCTAGCCTTTCGCTTCCTCCTTGTACTAGATTTTGACTTGAATTCCCCCTGAAAGCGAGAACGCACTATATGCCTTTACCCTCGCTTAGCCCCGCTCTTTGGTTTAGGATAGATCTGGACTGGAAGCGAAAATACCATAAAAATGGCTTCTTTCTTTGTCTCCGCTGGACTCTTTTGTAATAGCTTGATGAGCTTAACCAATAAGAAATATTACGTTCTACCTTCTGCTTCGAGCCCGGCCGAGAGTGAGCTTCCCGATAGTCTCTTCCTTCCTAGAAATAGAACTCTAACTATCCCGTCCCGTCTCCTTACTCGAGATATCTGAGATAGCTCCGTAAACTAATAACTTATAATAGACGAGCCCATTATCCTTATGTTCTGAACTTGCTTCTTGGTACAAGGGGAGGGGCGAAGAATTCTAGTTCTAGTTCTTCTTCTGCCTAATCTTTAGTACCGCTTTGAGATTGAATCTTTAGAACCATGTGCCTAAGAGGGCGAGGACCTTTATAGCCATAATTCTTCCCCCGGTTCTACCTCCTTCTGCAATAGTGATCTATCCCGTCAATCCCACCCGCGAGCTATCCATTCTAACCTGTCTTTGCCTAGCAAGATACGTCTAGTTCTCCCTCCGCTTGCCTATCTCAGTAGGAAATTGGAACAGTCTCCGATTTCAAAGAAAAAGCTGAGGCGAGAGCTATACCTTCTGGAACCGGAGCAATAACTGCTATAAAGTAAGGAGATGCGCAGGAACGATCCCTAAAGCAAATACTCGGAATGCTCCACGACTAAGTATACCCATTCAGACTCGCTTTTGTTCAATTATAAAAAAATAAGCACTTTGATGAAGATTTATAGCATCATTCAAGTAAATACAGATTAAGATCGTAGAAACATGAGCTTGTGATATAGCTACACCTAATTTCAGACCGGTTAATGCAAGAACTATAAATAAAGGACCAAGATCCCCTATGAAATATAAAAGAGCCATATTTTACCTATAATTTTTAAAATGACAGCTTCAGATATTTTCTCTTACTCCCTCTTCTATCTTATCCTTTCTAGTCGAAATTTTCTTGGGGCAGTGGTACATGCCCATAAGCTACAGTACTAACAGCAAAAACAATACCAATTTCTTTAAGGGAAGAACAACTAAAAGTATCTTGACATGGAAAAGAAATCACTTTATAAACCAAACAGTCACAAGCTCATATTTTATCTTTGTTACCCTTTCTCAATAATGAGAAACAATTTGAAAGAACCGAGTCGACCGCTAGAACTACTGGTTTTAAAGCCCGAAATAAATAGGCTTACTTTTTCTTCACTTGACTATAATTGATTTCTTCTGTGTAATACTAATCGATAGGACCTCATTGGTAAGTGCTACAAGATCTCGTGCATTGGAACCCATGGTTATGGACCCGAATCCGTTAGTATGGAATATTTTCTTTTCTAAGTGAAATCCCCTAGTATATGAAAGAGTGAAAAAGTGCTTTCGTTGTTGTGGAAGAAGAAGCTTTCGTATCTTAATAGGCCTTTATAGAGAAATGAAAAATAGATCCTAAATATTTGTAATCAATCATTTATCACTTGGTGGAGGAATATATAGTATTTCATTGCTACAAGTATGGATTATTGAAAATAATAAGACATGGATTTGGATATTTCCCTTTAACTATTCTTGTCAACTAAACGGGGGGATTGAAGGGAATTTTTTGAAGAGAAAATGGATTATGGGAGTGTGTGACTTGAACTATTGATTGGTCTGTGTAGATATATGCCTGCCACATAGGAATTCACAACCAAATGTGTCTTTGTTCCAATCGCCGTGTAAGCCCTATACAGAGGATAGGCTGGTTCGCTCTGGCTACGGAAATGCCCATAGCATGAGGAGGCATAATCACCGCCAAAGGGACCGGGTTACTTCCCTCATCAGAATCAGAAAACACGTTGGCCATAGTTCAAACAAGAGAGAGGATATCTAAGTGAAGAGGGGTTGAAATCAACTAGAATCGCAAGAACCGGGAAAACAGACACACAATAATAAAGTAAGGAGAAGAAGACACAGGGATTCGATATGAAGAATACGCAAAACACGAATGAATGCCCTCATGTCCCTATTTATAAAAATTCAAGCGTCAAAATCGAGACTTCAAGCCATCATTACCCAGCACTAGTACCAAAACAATAGATGCACGGGAAACAATGCGAAACATCGAGAAAATGCGCCATAATAACGTATGATGTCATGACGTCATTCTGAAGTAGGAACGATGTGACTCCGAAAGTTGTGGCTCGCGAAAGGTCACGTTGTCATCTCGTCTGAAACGCCACAACTCGACCCGCTTGTCCAATTTTGCCAACCACAATAAATAGAATTCCCTCATTAAGGTCATCTGAGGTTGGCCTTAATAAGCGGAGGGACTAACTGTACAGGTCGAAATCTGCATCCGTACTTGGTGGCAAAGTAACATCGAGAAAATAGTCAGCCAAGGTCGACCAGAAAATAGTGAGGCTCGTGGTCGAGATGCTAACGATGGTCGAGGTCGAGCAACGCAGAAAGAGTTGTAACGACTAGTTTATTAGAATAGGACATTAAAGAGAATATTCCATTGAATATTCTCTGCACTTGTACTATTAGTGTTTGTTGGGGATATGTCCCATACAAATAGAAAAAAAGAGAATGATAGAGGCAGGTAATATTCATTTGATAAGACCAGATCTCTAATAAAGATTCTCTTGGAGAAAGATTAAAAAAACTACCTTTTTATCAAGATTCTTGTTCATATTATTCCACATATTTCTATCAGATGCGAGAATATTTTGAATATTCTAGGATTTGTCTAACACTCATCATTGTCAGGAGGAGTAATCATCTAGTTCATCCTTTATTGGATGAACCCCTTTCTCCTATTTACTTAAATGTCATTTATTGTTATTTATTGCTAGTTATCTCTCCATTATTGCTCACACCTTGTGGAACATTTAATGAATGCTATTGCCAACTCCCCACTAGATCTGTCTAACGTTAACCGTATTTTCGAAATTCATATCTAGAGATATTATCATTACTTAGGTTTAATCCTTCAATATACAAGTATAATTATTTTAACCGAAAGTTAACACTTTTTTTGTCAAACAATTACTAAGGTATTTTAAATGTGATATGGTTATCCTAGCGTAAATAAGTTTCAATTAAATACCAATTAAAATTGTGAGGGAGTAATTAATATTTCTTCATATTTAATGAGACGTCTTTGGTTCAAGTCTGAAGGGGAATTTTGGCGCAATAGATAAAATTGCTGACATGTGATCAGGAGGTCACGGGTTCACTTCGTGGAAACAACCTCTTGCAGTAATACAGGGTAAGGTTACGTACAACAAACCCTTGTGGTATGCCTTCCTTGGATCCCGCGCATAGCAAATTAGTGCATCATGCTGCCTTTGGTTCGATCTGCATATAAAGTAGAGAGTGCTCTACCCCAAAGTAGAAACTATGACGTGAATTCAAATTAGTCGGCATCGAATACCAGATGAAAAAAAATGAAAAAAAGGAACAAGTTTCATTTGAATGAAATAGTACTAAATGGCATATGATGGGAGGAAGATAAAGACAGACGGTGGTGATTGGAAGGACGTAAGCAAACCTAGGCTGAAAACACGTAAAATTGATGAGCTTAGGAAAGTGGGACCCATATTCTCTTTTCTTCTACTATTTCTCACCTCAGCTTCAGTCGTCACCTCCGCCCCACGCCAGCGGCCACCTCTTTCCTTTCTCTTTCTTTTTTGTTTATTGTTCATTAATTTGTGGCTTTTTTCTTTTTAAATATTGATTTCCCAAATTTAATGGCTCAAATTCGGACTCAATGTCCGATAAAATCACTGAGGAAATGAAACATATTCAATTTTCAAACTTTAACTCAAGAAATGATGAAATTCGGCTCCATGCACTTTGATTAATTTATTAGGCACGTCAAATTTAGGTGATATAACTTAATTTTCATTGAATTCAAGATTAAAGAAAACAAATGATTTTAAATAAAAAATAATATTTGTATAGTTATAAAAATCTCCCATTAAATATAAAATAAAAATTTCAAGATTAAATTAGTTACAAATATAAAAATATACTAATAAAGAAACAACGTCATATTGGAATAGAAAGAGTGCATATATTTATTTCTCTATTCATTACTAATTATATATTGAGTAATTTCTTATGTTATTTCAATTACTACGTGGGCGTTTGGACATAAGAATTGTAAAACTTAAAAAAAAAAGTGAAAAAAAATTTCAAGTGAAAATGGTATTTGAAAATTAGATTTGTGTTTCATGAATATAATTTAGGGTTATTTTTGAAGTTTTGTGAGTGATCTGAGTGAAAATTTTGAAAAACAGCTTTTTGAAGTTTTTAAAATTTTCAAAAAATTAAAAAATTCATCCTCGAGTGAAAAATTAAAAAATTTATGGCAAAAAATAATTTTAAAAAAAGTAAAAAAATTCTTATTTCCAAACGGGCTCTACATACATCAAATAACTCTTTCATCAAAATTAAACACATTTAGTATCAAAAACAATATTTCATTAAAGAAATTCAGAGAAAATATTTTTCTCTCTCTAGGATTCAACAATTAATATTTTATATATACACATAAGAAAATGATCACTACTTTATACAACGCTACATAGTACTTAACAATTTTCTGTTGAAAAAATAAAAATAAAAATTTTCTATTGGTGGTTAATGATGTGTTAACACTACTCTTTCATTTTCATAGTGTTAGGTTTATTTACTAGTTATTGCTATTATTTTTCATATATTTTTTTATTTTTCCCACTGCTGTTATTATTCCTTTGGTCACTGTTGATGCTACTGATATATTGTCTTTCGAAAATAATATCTCTACTCTCTCGGGATAGGGGTAAGATTTGCATACATATAATTTTTTTCGGACCCCACTAGTAGGATTTATTGGGTCGTTGTCGTTGTTGCTGTTATTGAAAGGGATTCATTAAAACCCTTATGGTAATTCAATTTCACACAAATAAAGAAAAAGAAGGAAAAAAATACCTAACATAGTCTCGATTGGATTAAAATTCAGTTTCTAACTCCACCTCTTTAGATTCCTTCTTCCTCTTTCTTTTGACTTTCTAACTATCGCTGAAATTACAGAACTAAAAAGACTTTCCTGTTTTAAATTGAAAGAATCCCAAAATGGAAATCTCTCTCTCTTCTTCTCTTGTACTACCTTCATTTCCATGCCTTTTTCCTCTTCTTTTCCCTTCTTCTCTTCCCCTTTCCCTCCTCGACCTTCCCTAGCCTTTTTCAATTTCTAGAATATTCTTTTCTTTGTCTGTAATTATATTTAGCTCAATTTGTATGAGAGAACATATGTAAGGCGGCTTTATGTAATGGATAATAGTAGGACTGCGTTTTCTGATTCGAATGACATCAGCGGAAGCAGTAGTATATGCTGCATCGGCGGCGGCATGACGGAATCATTCTCGCCGGAAACTTCGCCGGCGGAGATCACTTCACTGAAACGCCTCTCGGAAACATTGGAATCTATCTTCGATGCGGCTTCTCCGGAGTTTGACTACTTCGCCGACGCTAAGCTTGTGATTCCCGGCGCCGGTAAGGAAATTCCGGTGCACCGGTGCATTTTGTCGGCGAGGAGTCCGTTTTTTAAGAATTTGTTCTGCGGGAAAAAGGACAAGAATAATAGTAAGGTGGAATTAAAGGAAGTGATGAAAGAGTATGAAGTAAGCTATGATGCTGTGGTGAGTGTTTTGGCCTATTTGTATAGTGGAAAAATTAGGCCTTCACCAAAAGATGTGTGTGTTTGTGTGGACAATGACTGCTCTCATGTGGCTTGTAGGCCAGCTGTAGCGTTCCTTGTTGAGATTTTGTACACATCTTTTACCTTTCAGATCTCTGAATTGGTCGACAAGTTTCAGGTAAAAAATGTGAAGTCTTTTTCTGCTATTGTTAAATTGGAACTTTGTAAGTTAGGCAATTGTATTACTAATGCTCTTGATTGAAGTAATAACTTTGATTTTACTGTGTTTGCTTTTGCATTCGGGAATAGTTATTTTTCTGAGTGAAATGGTTAGAATCTATTTACAGTTTCTAATGAAATTCCTTAGTTTACTAGTACAATTTAGCATGTAGACACCACTTACTGTACTCGGACCGAATATATATTTTTCTAATGGTCCATTGCATATTTCCTTCTCTTTGCAGAGACACTTACTGGATATTCTTGACAAAACTGCAGCAGACGATGTAATGGTGGTTTTATCTGTTGCAAACATTTGTGGTAAAGCATGTGAGAGATTGCTTTCAAGCTGCATTGAGATTATTGTCAAGTCTAATGTTGATATCATAACCCTTGATAAGGCCTTGCCTCATGATATTGTAAAACAAATTACCAATTCACGAGCGGAACTTGGTCTACAAGGGCCTGAAAGCAATGGTTTTCCTGATAAACATGTTAAGAGGATACATAGGGCATTGGATTCTGATGATGTTGAATTACTACAGATGTTGCTAAGAGAGGGGCATACTACTCTAGATGATGCATTTGCTCTCCATTATGCTGTAGCATATTGCGATGCAAAGACTACAGCAGAACTTCTAGATCTTGCACTTGCTGATATTAATCATCAAAATTCAAGAGGATACACGGTGCTGCATGTTGCAGCTATGAGGAAAGAGCCTAAAATTATAGTGTCCCTTTTAACCAAAGGAGCTAGACCTTCTGATCTGACATCCGATGGCAGAAAAGCACTTCAAATTGCCAAGAGGCTCACTAGGCTTGTGGATTTCAGTAAGACTCCAGAGGAAGGAAAATCTGCTTCGAAGGATCGGTTATGCATTGAGATTCTGGAGCAAGCAGAAAGAAGAGATCCACTGCTAGGAGAAGCTTCTGTATCTCTTGCTATGGCGGGCGATGATTTGCGTATGAAGCTGTTATATCTTGAAAATAGAGGTAGGATGTCATGATTCTGCTTGCTTCTTCTCTTATAGTCATTCTTATTTTTTAAGATCCAGTCTCTGTATATGATCTTCCATAATTCCATTAGTTTGCTCCTGCTCCTCTTCTGACAGCCTATGTCTAGAACTTCATGTTTAATCACCAGCCTTACTTGCTATTAAAGCTTTAATTGATATTGTGGTCTGTCTAATAGAGAACAAATGGAGGATGAGATACACAACTATGTAATATCTGGAGGATGATATATGCTGCAACGTAATATTTCTCTATTACCCTATAGATACCTCATATGGCATGCAAAGGACAGGTGGGAAGAAAACTAGCAGATATGCTTTCCTTATTTTGAAGTACCGTTTAGGTACTCCTGTTATATGCAATCCATGATTGCAAGGTCAGTGCCTATGAATTGGTTATCCCCCCATTCCAGCAAGTGATTCTCCTGGCATTTTGATCCTGTAGGTACTCATCTGTTGTATGCAATCCGTGATATTTTATAATGAGTTTTGATACCATGTGAGAAATATGAAATAAGAGAAAATGTATTGATGACATGGTAAAAACAAGACACATATTTATAGGAATCAAAAAGAATAGACGTGATATTTGTCCAATGTGGAATGATATCCAAAATTAAGAACTTTAACGCTTTTAATTCTAACGTCAACCCTTTATATTCTAACACTGTCTCTTTATATTTTTACATTCTATTTTTTTTCCTTCTTTCTCTTCCTTACCAGCCGTTATCATATATTTAAATGAAGGAGGTTATTTTGGTCCAGGCAAGTGTTTTTGGAGGGATAAAAGGTTTAAAGCTAGACCAACTTTCATATTAAATGTGTGGATCACATGTTATTAGTTTGGAAGGAAAACATATCAGTGTATTTAACCTTATATTTTAGAAAAGGAAATAATCTTTCATTTCCGAAAAGGTCACAAGGTTTGTCCTTTTAATGATGGGTGGTCAACTTGATTATGGTTGAGGAACTATTATATTAGTGAAAAGGGAAAAGAAAACCATTGTACTGAAGATGACTAGTTGATTGTCTTTCAGTTGGCCTGGCTAAACTCCTTTTTCCAATGGAAGCAAAAGTTGCAATGGACATTGCTCAAGTTGATGGCACTTCTGAGTTCCCACTGGCTAGCATCAGCAAAAAGATGGTTAATGCACAGAGGACAACGGTAGATTTGAACGAGGTTCCTTTCAGGATAAAAGAGGAGCACTTGAATCGGCTTAGAGCACTCTCTAGAACTGGTAAAAGATGTTTGCATCTACATTTATCATCAAAGAGTCCTCGTTATTTATGTTTCTCTTCTTTCAATTCTTGATATGTGATCTGCTAGGGATCGTTTGGTACATGGAATAAGGATAATAATCCCGGGATAGAATTTGAGATTGTATTTATCCCATGTTTGGTTATAGCCATTAGCTTATCCCATATAGAAGGTGGGATAGCTAATCTATGAGATATCCACCATTATACCAAACGGCCCCTTAGCATATAAATTGTGAGCCCAGTGGTTGTCCTTCGTTTTCTGCTTATTTTTATTTCTTGGCCTTTTTTTTTCTGTTGTGTGTGGGGTTGTGTGTGTGTGTGGGGGGGGGGGGGGGTAGGGGGTAGGGNNTGAGGGGGCGCTGGGAAAGGGATGGAAGCGAGATTCTTCCCATATGGGAAATAATGGACTTTAGGAATTTCAGGGTCAAAATATTGTCGTACGGACGTAAGCTCCGGAGATTCTATGGAAATTGAAAACGCCGAAGTAAGTGGCCTAGGAAAAATGAGGGTTGTTGCCCCGTCGTGAAGACAACTGAATGCTATTGTTATTTATTTCACTTGAGATGGGCCTTGAGAGTGCTTGATTGTATTGGCATTTGAATTTCTGAATTTTGTGCTTTGAAGTCTTCTGTGTTGAACATGAGCTTTGAAAATAAATCATTCTCTACTTGTGTTTGTACGAGCAGTGGAACTTGGAAAACGCTTCTTTCCACGTTGTTCAGAAGTTCTAAACAAGATCATGGATGCTGATGACTTGTCTGAGATAGCTTACATGGGGAATGATACGGCAGAAGAGCGTCAACTGAAGAAGCAAAGGTACATGGAACTTCAAGAAATTCTGACTAAAGCATTCACTGAGGATAAAGAAGAATTTGATAAGACTAACAACATTTCCTCATCTTGTTCCTCTACATCTAAGGGAGTAGATAAGCCCAATAAGCTCCCTTTTAGGAAATAGGTAATTGTATTAGGATAATATGAGGAAGAAGAGAATTTTCTTGTAACATATCACTCTTTCCTTTCATCATTTTGATATGTCAACATACATACAACACTTGTATCATAAACTTGTATTGTTCCACTTACAACTTTGAAGAACAGAATTTATTTGATTGCGTTCCTAGTGTATTACTAGTTGAGAAGCTCCTTTGAACAGTTTATTTCTTATTTTTATGGAGATAAAATTTTAACATTAATTGGAAACCTAGTAGGTACTCTCATGTAAAGAGTGGATATTGTATATCTACTGCAGTCACACAAGGAACACATACTCACAGTAATGATAGAAGGATGCAAGTATCCCCTGAAATAGTTAAAATATGCACAACTAGTTAATTTAAAAATGAATCAACCAAATAACTTTTTTATAAATTTAGTTAAGAGAGAGAGCTAAAATTTTCATAATACCACAAAGATAAAATTTATAGATGTACCATAAGACATACATACAGGCCAAAAATAAATTAAAAACCACTAAGGAAAAGTTACATATGAAAAAATAAAATAGGAAAATAAATCTAAAGAAAGCATCGTACTTTTTGTAGTTCTATGATAATAGTGTGCTGGGGAGCAATCTTCTCAGCTGGAAGAGAAGCCCTCCATGCCTATTTAGATATTTTCATAAATTATACTCAGAAGAATTGTATTATAAACTATACGCATAAACCCTCCACTCAGTAATTGTATTTAGAAGCTATTAAGAAAGTATAAAAATATCAAAAGAATAAGTAGGTATTCATGTAAGAGAGTGCATGTTACAAGAACTAAAGTAAAAATATCGGATAAAAAATTTGGGCCATAAAAGATCACATAAATGAATGTTTTATTAATAACAATTATATTGTTAGAGGAAAGTTGAGTAAACATATCTAGAGATATTTGCACTTGTTAAATAATAAGGTAAATGCAAAAATAGAGGAAACACGTTGTCTTCTCGATTTTAAAAATTAAATAGTAATGATAATGTATTACTACTATGAAGCACATCATGAGATTTTCGATGACCTAAAGAATATGTATAAGAAAACTGTGACATTTCAACGTATTGTCATGGGTATGAAATCTTTTTGGCTTAAAATAGAAGCTGAAAAAGAAGAAGAAATTTAGCCGAATAACCAAGACAACAAATATCATAGAGGCACATCGACTTTTGGCTATCATATAAACAGTGTGTCACCAAACTTGCCATTAGAGATACCAGAAGTAATCGGACTGTCGGACTGATGAAGCATTCCAACACATGTTGCATATATTATTAACCAATTAAGAGATAATAAAGAGTTATGATAACAAATAAATACAGAAAGTCTCAATTACCTCATTGAAGACGGAGCAATCAACACTAACAATGTGAACAAAGTACATATATACATGTGCTTGCAAATTCCTCTATAACCTTCAAAGAAAAAAGCATGCTACATTTGTGCTCTCTTGACATTTTATGAATGTGCAAAGTTAAATAATTTTGCTAGTATTTGTGAGAAAGAAACAAATGACGCATATGGAATACTGCAAAAGAACATAAAACGAGTCACAAAATTAGTGAAGTTCCACCATGGCTCAAAAGAGAAAATAAAGATAAATAGGCATGGATAACCTGCCTCGTGTAATTTCCTTCTTTCACTAATTCGAGTTCAATTTACCACCTCATGGAGATAACCTAAAATATACTATACTATTATTACTAAAAGAAAGAAGAAAAGTCTCTCAGCACAAGAGTTCTTCAAAATATGGTAAACATAAATAAAAGAACACAATCAAAAAGAAGCCCAAACAAATCTGACAATTGATTTTAAAGTTTCATATAGAACACATAGTCGATGGCCACTGGTGGTAGATACTATTAGTAAACAGTATTTGTAAAATAATTCTGGAAAAAATAAAATAACATAAACAGAAACATAAACGAAACAAAAGTTAATCCGAGCCCACTGAATTCACAGTGTTTCCTTAAGGAATTTAATCCCCTCCTTTCCTCCCAGGATAGAACGAATTACACACTGGTGTAGTGGTACTTCAAACCCCAGTATTTCAGCGAACACAAAGTTCGGTAGCAAATCACACTTACTTTGCTTTCTTTGAAGTTAAAACAATGCAGAAGAAGGAGGAGAAACTCAGAAAATCGTATGGAAATTCTAAGAGAATGGACTTGTATTTATAGCCAATGTTGGGCTGAAAACTGAAGAGGTGCAACTCTTCAGAATGGCTGTTTATGCAAAACGGCCATAGCATAAATGCCATAACATAAATGGCTAATTTATGCAATAATAAAACGGGAATTGAAGAGGGAAGTTTAATTTTGAGTTACACAACTGAAAACTGAAAACAGTTGGATTTTAATATTAATATTAATATTAATATTTTGTTATTAAAACAAATATTTAATAATAATTCTGTTAATATTTACTATTAACAAATAAATTTGGTCCAAAAAATTAATCAATCGATCATTTGACCAAATCCAAATCCGAAGCCGAAGTCGAGCCGAGCGAGCGACGACGACGACGGCACGAGGCTTGCCTTCTTCTCAACTCTTTAAGAGCTAGAAGAAGAGCAATTGCTTATATACTAATCAAAAACCTCTTCCTCTTCCAATATGGGACAATGTCCCTTTGTTAGGGGGGGGGGGGGGCTT